TGTATATATATATATATATATATATAATTTTTTTTTCTTTTTCTATTGGATTGTCTGGAAAGTTTGTGTTGAATTTTGAAGGAAAATTGAAACGCAGAAGATTTAAATTTTTAATTTCATTTATTAAATTAAAATCTTTTGCGGCACGAACTTTCCCAGTTGGGGACAACCCAATATTTAAGAATACTCTCTCAAATAATTTGTCAAAGTTTTTTACACTTATCTTCAAACATTATTTTATATATTTCACAACTAGTATGTATAAAAGTAGAAAACTTATAAAAGAACATACCTAGTTGCTCTTGTAGCATATCAGTATCAAATTCTCGATGATATTTGAGAGCTTTTTCAACTAATTGTTGGTTAACCCTTTCCTCCTTCTTATATTTCTGTTTAATTTCTTGTCTACTTCTATTTGGAAAGAGTGTCTGCATCAATAGAAAATCCGTACCTACTACATTTAAAACTCTATAAAATTTAAATGTTTCCCATTTCGGCCACTCCTTGCTCCTCTTATGCCTTTTATAGAAACCGCCACTATGGAAATTATCATCTTCAATAGTAACATTATTCGTCAACATTTCTTCATCTCTTCTTACATCTGTCTGCTCTATCACAAGGCTTTGTTCATCTATTATCAACTGACCATCGGGACCCACTTTCACTTGCGGCGTGGGCATTGCCGATGGATCATCTTCGTCTTCCTCTTCTGGTATTTCCATTGGTCTATAAAAAAATAAAATCAATAAAATTCTTGTACATGTTTTATATTTCATCATTATAATTTAGTATACTTACTGTGGTGTAGTTACTGATTCAGCTCTACGTTCAGCTGACAACTTTTTCATAGGATTTGTCACTGGATTATAATATATCAAGTCGTACATTTTCAACTGACTTCTATCAGGTGCTCTATTTTCGTGTTTTAGTAAAAATTCCCTTCTAGCTTCGGCCAGCTTTCTCGCAGATTCCGAAACTAACGTACGTCTTTTCTGCGCTATTTTAATTTTCTGAGGACTGTTTTGATTGTCATTAATATTAATTTCTTTATTACTTTGTACAGAGCACACAGAATCATTTCGTACGCGGTTCGGCACGACGGATGCGACTCTCTTGCTGTGTTCATCCTCGGATTCACTTGCGCTCGCACCACTTCCTTGTATACTGTTCTTTCTTATTCTACCACTACTGTCCAATCTTGGTGTAGGTCTCATAAAACATGGACGATTCTGTATTATCTTTGTAGGAGAGACTGAAAAATATATATATTAAAGAACATATAATTATAAAGATTTATTATATTGTTATTATATTGTTTAGAATCTTAAAGATGATATTATTATAGATATATTGATAGTAATCAAAATATAAAATAGTTGCATGTGTCTCCCAATTTAAATTTCTTTTTATCTTACCAATATCTGTTACTATAGACACATCTGATGGCAGAATATTTTTTTGAATTGATTGATCAGTAACTTTGAATCCAGTAGATGGAGATTCTTGAGAGTTTGACTTTGCCTGAACATGTAACTCTTGAGAATCTGGCTTTGCCTGAACATGTAATTCTTGAGAGTTTGGCTTTGTCTGAACATGTAACTCTTGAGAGTTTGGCTTTATCTGAGCATGTAATTCTTGAGAATTTAGTTTTGTTTGAGCATGTAACTCTTGAAAATCTGGTTTTGGTGGAGATGAAGATTTTTGAGAGTTTAGCTTTGCCTGAGCATGTAACTCTTGAGTATCTGATTTTAGTGCAGATGGAAATTTTTGAGAATTTGGCTTTGCCTGAGCATGTAACTCTTGAGAATATGATTTAATTGGAGAACATAATTCTTGGGAATTTAGTTTAACTATAACTGATTCTCTTAAATTGACTTTGTCTTGTTTCTTCTTAGTTTCCTCTTTGACCTTTTCAATATCTTTGGCAGCTTTTTGTTCTAGTATATCAATACAAGATATATCTTTCTTTTTCAGTTTTTCTTGTTCTGATATATCAATAGTGGATATATCTTTTTCTTTTCGTTTTTTTTGTTCGAATGTATCAGTCTTAATCACATCTTTCTCTTTCTGTTCTTTTACTTGTGTAACATCTTTGGTAATTTCTTGCTCTATCTCATTGATATTAGATATGTTTTCTTCATTCTTTTCCTTATCAACATCATTGTCAGTTTCAGAATCCGCTGAATTCTGCGTAGGCTTTTTTCGAACTGGCACAGCAGCTAAAGCTTTAATACGCAACCGACGCAGCATTATTGGATATATATTTCAAAAGAATCTGTAAAAAATAAGTACGAATCATAAAGCAATAATCTAACTTATCAATAAAAATTAGCGAATTATAAAATCATACATTTGATCTTGTGATCATTTTTTTTTTAGCTAAACTTCTTGCGTTCTTTTCTCTTTTTCTTTTTATATTGGAAAAAAAAATTAACTCCTATAAAAAATTAAAACTAAAAAGAAAACTGACCTACTAATTAAAAATTGTTGCAGCTTTTCAACTAGATATTCTGTTAAAGAAGAACCAAGAAAGGATATAAAAAATCAGCAGATATTAATAAATAACACCTCTCTATTTCATGTTTCTTTTGTATCAAGCATCATCACAAGAAGCAATTTGAATATCACAAACACATGATGAAATGTCTTTTTTCTAAATTCACATCGGATGATAGAATAATAGCATCTTCAACCTTTTGACGTTATACAGTGTTAAATAGTTATTCTATTTCTTCTTAAAATTTGATTTATTTTCTTCACAAAATTAAATTTATCCTGATTTTTTCTTCCTTCTCTCTTGCTCAAGCTATAAATATGCTCTATGCGAGATGTCACATGTACTTGGAGGTTATCTCGTTGTGTCACTCACCAACGACTTATTCCGAATTATTCCGACGAGCGAGCGAAAGGCGGTCTTCGTAGTTCATCGAAAATCAAAGAGACATCATCGTATCTCCGATGATCCTTCACTACGTATATACAAGCGGCTACGTATCACCTTGTTATCGCGGAACACGTGGAATCATATGCGACCAATATGAATTCGACGTTGTTCAAATACATTAGATTCAGAAGTCATTTGCGAACATCGATTATTTTAATAACACTGTGCATAATTCGCTCATCCTCAGTCTTATCTTCTCAACTCGTAAATATATGCGTATCAATGGCTGCGTTCAACAGAACACAACAATTTTGCAACTGTTTTATGATTGCTGCTGAGAGAGGACTGATTCCTCTTGATTTAAAAGCATAACCCAATCAGCGCGAAGAAAATTTCCAACAGTTGCAAAATAAACGTTCTGCTGAACGCAGCCAATATGATAATATCGATCATATCTATTCTCTTCCTTATGCCTCCAGCACACCAGCACGATGTCGCACGCAACATGCGATATCCAATGAGTGTACAGCTTTATCGATGTTTTCATTCTAAAGATATACTTTCATTGGATATCGCTCACACAAATATCGTGTTGGTGTGCCAGAATTATTAGGGGACGCGTCAGGACATTAAGTGCTTCTTAAATTACACCTCTCTCTTCTCTGAGTGTTTTTTTTTTATAAAGAAACATGATACAGAAAGAATAAAACATTTGCGAATAAATAGGACCTATATAGGAAAATAAATAGGATCTAATAGATTTGTTCTTTATAGTTGCATTATTTCATATTTTCTACTTTACTAAATACTAAAATAATTAATTGGACGATAGAAAGAATGATTAAAGACATAACAAATCAGCAGATATTATTACAATATTTTGCACTTTTAGATTTGTTCTCAATTTACAATATTTTGCACTTTTAGATTTGCACTTTTAGATTTGTCTCAATTTACAATATTTTGCACTTTTAGATTTGTTCTCTCTGTCATTGAACTTTTTATACTTTTATATATTGGCTACTTTCAGCAGAGAAAGCAGCTTTGCCACTGTTGTAAAATTCTTTAATGGTTGGTCTTGTCCTTAATTCCTTATTGAATCTAAATGTATAAACCAATCATATTCAAGAATTTTACAACAATTGCAAAGTTGTTTTCTCTGCTAAATGCAGCTATTTTTTTTTCCTGTTCAATACATATTTTATTTTAAATATAAAGCATAATAATAGATCTGTCATTTATTTCTATACTCATTGAACTGGTGCACACAATATGATAAATTGAAGCGAAACAAATATACATTTATTTCACTTCAACTTACATCATGTACACCGTTCAAAGAGTGCAGGAATAAAGAACAGACCTAATATAAACATATACATATAAAAAATGATAAAAAATGGACTTGACAGTTTCTATAATAAACTAAATATTTATTATAACCACTAAATTAAATATTTAAATCAATATATAATTTAAATGGAAAAGAATGAACAGCTGCCCGACAAAAAATTTTTCATGCATGAATCTGTATAAATATGTATAAACATACACGCAAAAATATTCATAAACATATATAATTATATATGAAATATGTCCATACACATTACTATTATTATTTCTATTATATTAAAAAGTAATTTTACAAAAGAAAAAAGGATGTATAAACATGTATGGACATATTTCATATATAAATTTTTTACCTGATGTCAAATAAAATAATTTAAAAATTTTGAGACAGTTAATGAGATTGTGCAATGTTCATACGTATGTATATTTAATATAATTATTTAATTTACATTATATAAGTATAGAGAAAATTAAAAAGAAGAAAGAATATTGTAAACGTAATGGAAATTATTTGAAATTTTCTTGTTTTGTATTTCTTAATTAGTTTTCAAATATTAAATACAAATAGTTTTACAAATAATATAAATAATATAAATACTTACACAAATATTCATAAAATGCTATTGATATGATATATTTTTGCATCTTAAACTCCTAAACTTTATGTAAGCGCCAGATAAAAATTTACAATTTCATCAAAAATATTTTATTTCACTATTTACCTTTATTACTTTATTTACAGTAATAATAAAAAATAATCCAAATTTAATGGCTGTCCATAAATTGTATATCCGACAATAACAACACTGTATTTGGTAATGGTCTAGGTTGCGGACTAAGTACTGTAAATGTTTGCCTCTCAACATCCACATTAGTCCTGTAAATAAGAAATATATCTTCATAAGAAAAATAATATCAATTATTAATCCTCTGTCTACAATCTTTTTCGACATAAGCAAAATTTCACTTTCGAAAATAAAGGAGAGAGAAAATGATTTCCTCTCCTAAAATAATTATTTGATAATGTAATGGAGATGACAAGTAATCCTGAATTTTTTCATATTTTTTAAAAAACTTAAAACAGAGTAAATAAACTTGGACTGAACAAAGAAAGATCCAAATTGTAGATGAAGGATTAATAATGGTAAATATCAGATTATTGAATATCGAATACTAACACACAAACAAATCCAGCTACATTAGTCTGTACGACGTCATCCTCAGGAGAATCAGCAAAAGAAACAGACAACAAATGATGCAGCAAATTGGGTCCCGGTGTAACGGCCACCAGTTTTGTCAAATTGTCCTCCGCTTTCATACCCAATGGCATGCAAGATGCTGGTAGAACAGGTGCTCCAATTTTGTACAATCTCGCTTCGTTCCACTTTACTTCGAAACTATGTGGATACAGTGGTGTCCGTGAACCATAGAAATATTCTCTAACACCCTGATCTCTTGCTTCACTTCTTTGCGCCTGACTTCTCTCGACAACTCCACCACTCTTCGGCAGAAAGACTACCTTCACAAAGTCTGGCATATCTCTCACCAATTCGTTGTAGAGTCTCTCTTGATCCAATACAAGAATTGCATCCACTTCAAATGCTTGTGCAGCATGAGTGAGCAATTTATAACCCTCTCCTTTAATCCAGCCACATGTATTTATAACAATCCCCGATGCTTTGGCTTTTTTATTGGCTTGTAATCTATCTGAGCAGACCTCTGCTAAACGTGTTACAAGTAAGTTGTATAGCGTTACATTGGTTTGTGGTGATTTGTGCCCGAAATGAAAGACCAATGGAGCTTGCTGGCTGAAACCTTCCACTATATTGGATGGTCGTTCTACCAACAAAGCACCCACAGTCCCAGGTATCGCTATATGTCCTTGACCAACATCAAGATCAACAAAAATTGGTCTTCTGCCCATTCTAACAGCGTAGTTCAATAATATTCTACAAAGTGTAGACTTTCCTACATCACAAGGTCCTACTATCATTGTTATTGGTCCTCTAGTGTCATCCTTCTCTGCCATCTCTCTCATTCGCTCCATTGCTGCATGACAATTTAAATACAGACCCATAGGAGTCTCCTTTGCTACATAGCTGACATCTGTTTTCCCAACTAATTCAATAGTACAGCCCTGCCAAGTAAAAACTGCAACTTTTGCACCAGCAGTAAACTCATACTTTTTCCCTTTCACCAATTCTGTCCCAAAAACTTCTGCTAAGCCATTCTTTAACTGCAATAACAAATTTTTATGTTACACGACAAAATAAAATAAAAATAACAAATGAAATAAATTCTTTATAAAAAAATGTTCTATTCTACCTCCAATGTAACTTTTTCATTTTTGCTCTCCAGTTCAAACCTCAATTCACAATCTGGATCCAATTTAAATTCTTGCACTGCAGACTTTTCATCGGCCATTTCTCAATTATTTTAATTATACAGAAAAAATTAATTACACAAAATCTGTTAGCTCATCTGACGTTAAGTTAACCTTGTGCTAATTTTTTCGTATTTCGCAAATATTTATCAATTCTTGCAAAACAATTATGAAATTTTGTAAATATTTATGAACGAAACGATAAATAACTGGAATGATAATAAGATTGTTATAACATCCAATGCTCTAAAATAATGAACATTTCATACATCTCGTCCAATCTCGTCAGAATAAAATACAGACACTTCTTAATCGTTCTATCGCCGGAATCAGACTACGCATTGAAGAATAATGCCTGTATTCAGTCAGATCTTGTATTTAAGGGGCTCTGCACAATAAAAAGAACAAGGAACAGAGAATAAGAATTTCAACCTATCAGAAATTGTGTATACAATACATGATTTCTGATACGTTGAAATTCTTATGCTTTGTTCCCTGTTCCTTTTATTGTTTGCGGAGCCCCTAAGGCTTCCTTAAATTTATCTTTGGATGCTCAGCAGCCAATGAAATAATTCGTAGAGTACCTAAAGATAAATTTAAGGAAGCCTTAAATATAAGGCTTGACTATAGATTCAAGTACAAATGTTTTAACGAGCGCGTTGGAATGAATAGGAGCTATAATAGGAGCATATTGGAGCATGTTGGAGTATTGGATATAGATTTTTATAAATTTAATTTAATTCATGTTTTTATATGTATAAATTTGTTTTGAATAAATAATGTTATAAAATGCAATTAAAACGAACAGACTTGTTGAAACGCTACCAATTGGTATACCTGCCATATATAAGGAAGGTGTGTTAGGTTAGGTTGGCAATCCTGTTACCAATTTCGCCATTTTATGATATTTTGCGTTGTTTTACGCGGTGACGACTTTGTGATGTGATCTGAAAGTTCACAATTTTTGAGTTGGAAATCAAAATAGGAAATCAGAGAAGAAGAAAAAAGCTGACAATTTTAGCTTCAAGAGCAATTATGCAATGCAGATTTATACGATATTACGTTATCATTCGTCACGTAGTACGTTCAGTGGTAACTGATACGGCAGGCATTCATTAAGTTTTTATGATTAGTTACTCATTAATTTGCAGTTTCAATAGTCGCATAACATTTCCCACTTCATAACCAAGGTAAGTTTATAAACATATGTTACATCACTTTTGCATCGAGCACTTTTGCATAACTTCTATAATTCCTCCTTTTTTTTATTGATATCTAAAATAAATCTACATATTAAATATATTTCTAGATGCGTAGAAATCAAAGCACAAAGGCTCCAGCTGCAGCCTTCCAGCGTATTACTCGTCTGAAATCTCGTGAA